GGCCTGAGGAGATCCAACAGCGCCCCGCTCATCCACGGGCTCAGGTGAGCGCGGCCTCGCGTCGGGCTCTGTGTGTGTGTGTGTAGCTCTGCCGTGTGCTGTGTGGCTGAGGCACATACAGCGCCAAGGTCGTGGCCGTTGCTCTAAGGTGGCAATGTCTCCGGTTTAAGGGGTCAGGTCTGACCGAAACCCCCCCCACATCGCTGAACCAAGGTGGCAATGTCTCCGGTTTAAGGGGTCAGGTCTGACCGAAACCCCCCCCACATCGCTGAACCGTTTGTGACCACAAACAGTAAATCCTTTGAGAACAGTCGGGTGAATTTATGGAGATCGCTTTATGGGACATTGAAGGATGCACAAGTTTCCCATTCAGTGTAAAACATTATGTCAGTTGTCCTGGAGTTTTTCTGGATGATACTAATTTTGTTAATATGTAATAACGGGAGAGACACGTGTAGATAATTTTGCTTGGGTATTGCCATCAGCCTCTGCCTGGTGGTATTTGCAAGGGGGGGTTGGATGTTTGCCTTCAGCTGACAGGGCAGACGGGGAAAGCTCTCAGGTGTGCATGGTCTCACATATGGCTTTGTGTTTGGGTAAGCAGATAACTCAAAGTGCTATTTCTTGCCTCCTCTGGGTTGTCATGAAGTTGAGAGATGCCTGCTTCTGCTACGTGGGGTGGCTACCACCTAACTTCGAGGTGGTTCATGTGCTGCTACTAGTACTATGTTTGCAGCTTGGGAGAGTTTATTGATAATAAACTTTGTAAAACATAGTATAATGCATAGATACTTCCCTGCCACAAGCCCCCTTAAATTTCATGTCACTTAGGTATCAAGTGCTGAACCAACCTCATAAATCTTATGTACCAAAATGATTAACAGTCCATTACTGTTCAGAGGAAGTATTATTGTTTATTCGGTCGTAATTTAGTGCAAGTAAACATTGTGATTCTTTTAATATTCACTGTACATAATGGTAACTGTAAAGGAACAACTCTCAGTTTACATTTTGATGCAGTATACAAGTACTGTGAATGGCAGTTGTTCCTCAGGCAGGTTGCTGAGCAGGTGAACTGGTTATGTGACTGAGATGAGATGTTTTTATAATCACAGCATTTTATAGGTTGGTTCTTACAAACTGTGAGACTCTGGATTCCTTAAAAAAGGCATCCCATAACCATGCTGTCACCCAATTCAGGGTCTGGGCAGGTAGAAGGCTTAGCCTGAGCTCTTCCCTTGACACTGTGCATGCACTATACATTAGGTGAGTATACAAATGAAGATGAAATGCCATTGAGCTGATTTGAGGTGGTTGCAGTGTTTTGCCTGTTAGGAATTTTCCAGCAGAATATTGTTTTTGCAAGATTGCAGCTCTTGGCAAGAGACTTCAGTTTTTCCCAGAATGGCTTCGCTGGGTAAACTGAAACAAAAGCTCTTGAACAGCTTTTGCTACTCTGCCTCCTGTTTTGACTTCTTCAGTAACAGACTTGGTAAGGAGCTTGGAGAATGAGTTACCGTAGAGCCAAAAACATTTTTAAGTGGAATGTTTTAGGTCATGGAAGTTACATTTCACAGAACTTTTGACTCTTTTTCTTCATGTCAAGTAAGATTGATTTTTACTGGGAACTGTAAGTGTTTTCTGTGAAAGGTGAGTCTGTGATGTGACCAGCTTTTGCGAGGGAGATTAAAAGTAAGGATATTTGCAGGGTTTTTCCCTCTTAAGAAGAGCTTATTTTATACCAAATAACTAACCCTGTGTTATTTAACTGATGTGCTGCTTCCTGGTTAGAGAAGCAATGACTGTGGTCAAAAGCCTTAAGGCCTTAAAAACTGCTTTTATTGTAGGTTAAGTTTAACCTTTTCTAGAAAAAGCATTTAGCACTTTAATTAAATGTTCATAGTGATAAGATTTATCAAGGTACTGTTTGGGTTTATTTGTCCTATTTTTTATGAGGCATTGAATCTGGCTTCAGCCATTGGTTATGTGCCATTTATAAATTCATTCTGTTGAATGATGCAAGTTGCAGCCATTCCAAACGTAAGAAATTCCCAGATATCATCAGTCTTTACAGTTTTTCAGTCATTCTGAAGACTAAGGATGATTAATTAAAATCATGAATTACAGTAGCTGGGACTTGGGGAAAGAGCAATTTGCTTTCCAGTCCCTGCCAACAAGCTGCAGGAGTTCTTCCATACCTGTCTCTGGAGTGCTTTGTCTTGGAATGAGAGCTGTCACAGCATTTGAAACTGAGCTTAGATTAAGAGGTGCTTTTTGATAGGAAGGAGATGGCTTTTGCAGCTGACAAGTGTTTCTCTTCACAGTGATAACTCACAAGTGTTCCAGGCCAACGTTCTGCGGACCCGCAGGAACAGCACCACAGTTATGAATCGTCACAGCCTGGTAAGGAAACTACTAAACCAACTGCATTAGGTCCAGAGTGTGCAAACAGGATTAAAGGAGAAAATGAGATTGTTGTCTGCGAACCTAATAGCACATGTTTTCAGAAACAAGGCTCTAACTGTGACATTAATGTGCTGTAGCTATAGTGAAATGTTGTTTATAGCCTGTTGGGCCTTGGAAAGTACTTGTATTTCATTCTGATCATAACTTTGTTTATAAAATGCAAACAGGTCGTCTAAGAGTAAGAAAGGTAGTTTGTAAGGAAAACTGATTATGTAGATGTATTGTTGTTCAGTATTCACTGTGTTAATCATTTCTGATGTTAAAAAAAAAACCAGGTAGTGATGCTCTTACCTTTAATAGTCTTTTATATAGTATTGACAGAATAGACTGTTGTGATCAACAACAATCATAGAATCATATAATCACAGACTGGTTTGGGTTGGAAAGGACCTTAAGATCACCCAGTTCCACCCCTCTGCCTTGGGCAGGGACACCTCACACTAGACCATGTTGGCCAAGGCTCTGTCCAACCTGGCCTTGAACACTGCCAGGGATGGAGCATTTACCCCTTCTCTGGACACCCTGTGCCAGCACCTCAGCACCCTCGCAGAGGATGATACCATTATATCCCTTTGATAGATACATCTCCATATATCTATATAGATATCTTTTATAATGATTACTACAGGGGCAGCTGTGCCATTTGCCTGGGGCTTCACCTGCAGGTTTCTGTCACTACATGTCATTGCCAAGGAAGGGTCAACGAGGCTCAGTGTCTGCTGTTACTTTCCCTGCAGAAGATAGCAGTGGCATCTAGTGAGTAAATGTTTTGATGGTTTCTGTTTTGTGTGGTTGGAGTCTTTGTTTTGTTGTTTAAGCAAAGCACTGTAGCCTGTGGTTAGATGTTTAGGTGCTATTTCAGCATTTTCTTTGTTTATTTTCTGTACAGCTCAGTCAGTTCCCTGTCAGGGTTCACTGTGTGGCCCCATAGATGCTTGTGCTGGCAGAAGGCAGGGGGCACTGGAGGGACAGCAGTGGAAGGGCAGAGGTGCCAGGGCAGGTGGCTGTTCCCCTTGGCAGTGGTCCCACTGAAACTTTACCTTCAGGGAAAAAGATTCATCTGACATACTGGAGAAGGGGAATGGGGAAGGTGTCTCTTTCCTGTCATAGTCTAATAGTTTGTAATGGTTTTCATTAAGCTTTGTGCTCTCAAAGCATTGGGGATTTGAGTAGCATCATTTCCCCAATGGGTTCAGTCTACTTTAGCAAGTATCTTTAAAAGGGACTGAGGTTTCTTTTCACAAGAATTAAATCAACGGACTGCAAACAAGGGAAAAGTGGGTTTCAAGCATTGGCAAAGAAAGGTGATGACTTGTTGGAAACAAGCTGTAGGATCCTCAGAGTTGGTGTGTTTAGTTACTGCATTAGATCCTTCAGAAGAACATTAACTGTCTTTTTAGGATTTCTATTTTACACTGCAAGCCACACTGGTTTTGTATATATTTTGTTAATGTCAAACCTTAAAGCATGTGGATCACACTCATAAAATTAGAACATAATGAGTGGAACAAATGCATTTTACTGTGGAGTGCCAGAGTGAATAGGCAGGAATGTACTATTGTTCAAATCCTTTTCTCTGTGTGAGAATCAAGGTCACCTCAAGGTCCACATGGGCTGGTACAGCTTGGAGGAATTTTTATTAGGCTTTTGGGGAGCCCATTATGATAGCAAAACTGACGTAAACTGGACTTAAAAAGTAGCAAATCAGAACATTATGGTTGTTAGACTTTGGTGGTATAGATTCTGGCAGAAACATTGAAGCATCCTCTTGTGAGTCAGATGAGCTAATATCTTTTGTGAGAAGGGTGTGAAGTCTTGATATTTGGGTTAGAGGGGGATTGTGGATATATGAAGCATTAATAGTCTATGATAACTTACCATAACCTCCTGTGTAAGACAGCAGAATCTCTGTGTTCTCCCTGGCACTGATGAGATGGTGCAGTAAGTGGTTAACTGAATGTTCATTAGTTCTCCAGCTTGAGCATAATGAAGAGCTCTAGTAATGTTTTGTGAAGCAGATGAAGCCTCCTGCTGCAGAAAGCATAGAAACACTTGGTTACAATGCAGACCTTACTTGCTGAACACACTGAATCCATTTTAGAAAGACACCTTGTCAGCTTACCATTTTTAGTGACATCCTCTCTGATTTCCCCTGAATTGGTGAAGCTCTTGAGAAACTGTAAGGAACATACTTAACTCTTGTTGGCCTTCTAATAGCTGATTTCTTTCACCTGTCAAAGTAGGCATTTGTAGGCAGACAACAGTCCAGAAACCTTTTTGCACAATGTGTTTTGGCTTTGTATTTTTGAAGGCAGAAGCTCTTCCCTGGGAGGGTGCTGAGGTGCTGGCCCAGGGTGCCCAGAGAAGCTGTGGCTGCCCCATCCCTGGCAGTGTTCAAGGCCAGGTTGGACACAGGGGCTTGGAGCAACCTGCTCTAGTGAAAGGTGTCCCTGCCTGTGTCAGGGGTTGGAACTGGATGATCTTAAGGTTCTTTCCAACCCAAACTATTCTGTGATCTATTGGGAAGCCTTCTGGATCACTTCAGTGAAGATGTTTATGCAGCAATATACATTAAGGGTGGCAGTATGCTACTTAAAAGCAGCTTTATCTATAGAGAAGTGAAAGCCAGGCTGATGCCAACTAGCATCGTGTTCTTGCAAGTAATTGATACAGTTTCTATATATTATGAATGTTTTCGACCTTTATTCTTAGTTTGGGACAGCACTATGGAGTGGGTACTGACATTCCTGTGCCTTTCCCTCCCTTCTCCTGTAGTTTCTAAGTGTGTTTCAGTTGTATATGGCTTTGTTTTGCAGTTTGTGCCATCTTCTCCTATCCGTATTCCCAGCAGTCGTCTTCATCAAATCAAACAGGTAAGCACAGATTCTAATTCAGTTTATTTAATTTTACATTTTCTATAGGTGCTCGGGTTTTTGCAGTTAATGTGTAATGTCCTTCAAGTGACTGTGGATTTTACTGTGAAACTGTGTCTGCAGTGTCACTTCAAGGAGTTTTCAAAGGTAAAAGCTGGGTCCTGTCTGCAGAGCTTCAAATTTCCTGAGTCTTACAGTAAGAAGAAGATGTGAGCTGAAAGAGGAGTCTGAAAATGGACATTTTGGAAAGGAAATCTTTCACATAAACCCTTAGGGTAGAGTTTCACCAAGTTTTTGGCAGTGGTGCCAGCATAAAGATTCACAGCCCATACAAAGTGCTGCTTAACTCCTGTTGGCACAAGACTTTTGTTTAGCCAGAAAATGAACTGGATAAGGAGGCTAAAAGAATAAGTTTGGACTCTTC